GGAAAAAGTTGCCTAGTCACCGGGTCCCGGAACTGGGAGCAATCGGGTACGTGCATACCAGGGCTAATGGAATGGTGACAGTGAACTTAAGCTTAAAATGGCCACCACCAGGAAGCAGGAACTATGCACAGTCAGGCGCCTCAGGATTGAAACGTGGCCCAATACTGGCCAGTACAGAGATTGAACCCTGGACCTTGATGTTACAAGCACCACACTCTAACCAACCAAGCTACCCAGCCAGCCCCCTGAGTTTATGTTTTAACTGACAGATAAAAATTGTATACATTTATGGTGTACTGCATGATGTTTTGATATATGTATATGAGGGCACTTCAAAAAGATCATGGAAAAATCGAATTAAAAGATAATATAAGCATCCTTTTGCTAGCTCAGCTGGCAGAGTGGAGGGATGTAAAAGATAATACAAATCTTTCCATGAACTTTTTGAAGTACCGTGTACATTGCGGAACGCCTAAATCAAGCTAATTAACACGTGCATTACCTCATGTGTACTTATCTTTTGCGTGTATGGTGAGGACACTTAATATCTAATCTCTTAGCAATTTTCAAGTATACACTACACTGTTATTAACTATAGTTGCCATGTTGTACAATTGATCTCTTCAACTTACTCTTCTTGTTAAAGTGAAATTGTGTATCCTTTGACCAACATCTCCCCAATCCCCCACCACAATCCCAACCTTGTCTAGTTCATTTCTTGAGAGCTGTCAACTCTTGGGGGCTCTGCCTCCAAATGTCTCTGGAATTTGCACCTTCTCAACTCATCTGGGTAGTCTGGAGCACCCCCTTTCTGGCCAAAAAAAAAAAAAAACACCTTGCAACCAACAACCCAGTATTCCCATCTCACCTAAAATAAAACCAAGAACAACAGAATTCCCAGACTCCACTGGTTGGAGTGTAAAACGGTTCAGCCAACCTGGAAAACAGTTTGGTAGTTGCTTATAAGTAAAGTTAAACATACAACTACCACACGACCCAGCAATGCCAGTCCTAGTTACCCAATAGAAATGAAAGTTTCTGTATACACAGATGCTCTCATGATGCAAACATTCATAGCAGTTCCAGTCATAATTACCCAAAGCTGGAAGCATCCCAAATGCCACCAACAAGCGATGATGGCCCAACTGTCATACGTTCATATCGTACGTGGAACTGAGCAATGAAAAAGAATCAAACAACATGGATGAATGCCAAAAACATCCCACGAAAGAAGCCAGACACCAGATAGAGCATGTGATTCCGTTTATATAAAGTTCTAGGACCTACAAAAAAAAATTGAAACAGAAGTTACCTTTGGATGGTGGAAGTGAAGGTTGATGGGGAAGGGGCATGTGGGAACTTTCTGGAGGGAATGTTTGTGGTAGGAGATTGGGTTACCTGGGTACATGGATTTGTCCAAACTCAGCAACTGTATATTTAAGATGTATGCATTTCACTCCAGTAAATTTGACCTTGAAAGAAAAAAAGCCAGAAGCAAATACTGAGCTTTCCTTAATGACCTGGATGCAGAAATGTTGGAGCATGATATCTGCTACCTCTTTTGAAAAGTATCCAGAAGAATAAGGTGGACTGATGGGTGGATAGACAGAGGGATGCGTGGGCCCATCTGCTTGTGGGTACATGGGCGTCCACTATAAAATCCTTTCAACTTTTCTGTATACTTAAAAAACGTTATCATAAAATGTTGGGGAAAATAATCCAAATTCCTCCCATGGGTCCCCACACCGTGCATGCTCTGGTCCCTGCCGCCTCCCTGCTCTCCCCTCCTTCCACTGTCCCCCTAACTCACTCTGCTCCAGCCTCATGGACCTCCTTGCTGGTCCTGGCCCTCCAACATGCCAAGCTCGGTCCTGCCTCAGGGCCTTTGCACCTGCTGCTCATTTCTCTGGAAATCCCTCTCTCGACTCCCACCCTCTTCTGCACAAACACAGGACCTCCTCATATTTAAGTCTCAGCTTAGATGGTGCCCCCTTCGAGAGGCCCTGCTTGATCGCCACATTTAAAATCACCTCGCCCTGTTTATTTTCTACGTAGCCCCATCACACTCTGGTATTGCATTTGTTTATGAATCTCTTTACTGGTCTATTGGTTTCCTTCCCTGCTGGGTGGTGAGCTCCACAGGGACGGAAATGTGTCTGCCTTGTTTCCCTGCTGTGCCCCCAATGCCCAGCCCGTCCTGGCATGTGCAAGTCAATAAGAGTACATCGCGTGCCTGGATGGATGGATGGAAGGTTGGATAGATGGGCAGATGTTCAGATGTGCAGATGGATGGATCGATGGGCAAATGTTCAGATGTGTGGATGGATGGATAGATGAACAGATGAGTGAATGAATGAACAAACTTTCCAAGTGGGGACCCAGGTGATGATAGTCTAGGCAGTTGGCTCAAGATCTCCGGAAAGGAAGGAGCTGTCTGGGCTGGTCCCTGCAGGCTGGAGCCACCCCAAATGCTGCTATTGTTGGAAAGCTGCCCCACCTTAATTGCTGCTCCCTTATCTGACAAGATCGGTCGTGAGATAGGCTCTCATGCACCTGCTCTGCAGCCGGCCTGGCCTCTGCGAGCAAGGCAGCCAGCATTCATATCTAAAAGGGACTTTATGTTCAAAGGATGGCCAAGGAGGGAGCTCTGGATTTTGTAAATCTTTTGTCTTTGGGCTGTGTTGGAGGCAGCTTCCTGCAGTGGAAAGAAACCTCCCTGGACATTTGAGAACTCAAGTTCATGACCCTAAGCAGCTGCTCCCTTGACTTCTGGCTACCATTTTGGCATCTGCAAAGTACAGGATAATAACTATTGTTATGAACTATATTGTTATTGCTCTTATGAAGGATCAGTAGGCTGAGCACTTTATGCGCCTTTACAAGCTGGGATGGGTATTACTGTCCCTGTTTTATAGATGAACTTGAGGTTCAGAGAGGTCAGGTCATTTGCTTAAGGACACACAGCCCACATCTGTCCTTGACATTGAATAAGATAAATAAACTCTTTGCCAGGAGCTGTGGGGATGAAGGTGGGGCGGTAGCCAATGCCCCACCCTTCCAAGTCTATAGAGCAGCTCCAGTGACCTGGGGAGGGGGACCTCTGTCTTTCAGCCCTGCCTCCTGCCTAATGCAGGGTTGTCGGTGTAACTGATGGGGGTGGAGGAGGAATTCTGTGACCCGACCCATTCCAGCCATCCTGCATGCAGAGCTCTTAACTGAAACGTGTCCACAGGATGTTGTCCAGCCTGAACGAGTGGCTGTGGCAGGACAGGCTCTGGTTACCGCCCAACAACACATGGGCCCAACTGGAGGACCGGGATGGCCTGGTCTATGCCCACCCCCGGGACATGTTGGCGGCCCTGCCCCTGGCACTGGCCCTGGTGGCTCTGCGCATCATCTTTGAGAGGTGAGTGTCCACCACGGTGCAACCCCCTGACCTTGTTGTGGCGTGTGTGTACCCGTGTACATTCCTGTACCGTGCGGGGTTTGCCATCAGAACGTGTCCCGGGAGGTGCCTGGCTTTGGCACCAAAGCGCTTTTCCTGGCTCTGGTGGTTGCCACCCGTTCTTTTCTGGCCTCTGGTTGCTGGTGTATCATAACACTGGCTGCAGCTCAGGTGTGGGTATGCCAGCATCTTCTTAAGACAGGGGGACCCCTGAGGATATATGGCCGATTTGCTGACCAAAGGCCAGCCTGCAGAAACCACACACTGTTGATAAATGAAGAAACACCCGCCCACCCCACCCCCACCTAGAAGCGCACAGTCTCTTCCCTTTGTCCCCTGAGAACAGGTCTGTCCCATACCCCCCCACCCCTNCCCCTCCCTCCTGGCCCCTTCTAACACCTTCCCTCACTCCAGCCTCCCCTTTTATGCACCCCCCCATTCACCCCCAACCTCCTGCAGCCTGGAGCCCATGGCCCAAGTATGTGCCGCCTGCCCACGTTGCCAGTGACCCCCTGACATTTGCACCTGCTCCTCTGCATCTCCTTTAAGGCTGGGTTCCAGGGAAGCCCAGCCTGCCCCTCCCTCAGGCCAGAGCCCTTAACTCCCAGGAGTAGGGAGGCTGGGGATGGGTGGAGGGGAGACTGGCTGTGCTCAGGTTCATTACTGGAGCCCACGGGGTTGCCTGAGGGTCTTATCTGAAGTGGGCGTGTGATCACATCCTAAAGGCACCTCTGGCCTCTATGAAGGATGGTGGAGGTGGGGGTAGCATTTCCTGGCCCCAAAGGCAAGGGTTTTAGCCATTGTTAAAAAAGTGAATTCTGGGTTCAAATTCAATGTCTGCCACCCACTTACTGTGTCATCCTGTGTATATCTCTGACCATTCTGAGCCTCAGTTTACCCATCAGGACAATGGGTTAAGTGAGCCAGCACATAGCAGGGACTCGACCCCAGGCATAGCAGATAGTAAGTGCTCAGTAAACATCAGCCCCTTCTTTCCCCCATCACGACTGGGTCTGAAATGAGTTCCTTGCCAGGCTGCTCTGGGCCAAATGACAGGTGATGTTGGGATAGTGGATATAAAATACGGACCCCCCATGGCCTTGGGGATCCCCCCTTGTGGGCAATGTGGTGATTGACCAGAGTCCCTGTTCCTCCAAATGCACACCCTGGAATAGAGGATGCTGGGAGGAGGGGGCTCTGAGAGGGGGAAGACTCTGCCCCTGCCCAGGAGGAGCCCCGAGCCCAGGACGCAGGCCACTGTGACACAGGCAGTGAGGGGACTCTCTCATCCCCAGTTTAGGATGGTGCCCCAAGAGTTGGCCTGCACACCCTCATCCTGCTGACCGGTTCAGCTGTCTTTCTTATGTTTCGTCCAGTGCAGCAGTCAGGCTAGCCCTCCAGGGCCCCAGAGTGTGAGTCTGCCAGGAGCAGAGGAAAGTTCTGAGTCCTGCGCCACGATTTGGTGGCTGTCCTGTAACGGGATCCGAACCTGTGACCTTGGTGTTATAATGCTATGCTCTAACCAACTGAGCTAACTGTCCAGTCTACCAACAGGCTTTTTGACTCTGGATTTCCAAACCTTCTGATCAGATGGAGAAGAAAGACCCCAAGTCTTACACACCTCCTGTAACTTGGCCCTTCTAAGCCTCAGTTTCCCTACACAGTCCTGTTTCTTCTCACCTGGGCTGATGGGTTCTGTCTCCCGTGTCCCCAGATTCGTCGGCCTGCCCCTGAGCCGGTTGCTGGGTGTGCGGGATCGGACCAGGAAGCAGGTGAAGCCCAACGCCATGCTGGAGAAACACTTCCTCTCAGGAGGGCGGAAACCCAAGGAGGTGAGAGCCCCTTCTCCCCCCAACCCCATCCTCACTGGCCAGCACGGCTGCCCAGTAGCAGTGGCCTGAGGGTGGTGTGTGGCCCACTTGTTGGGGGCAGGATAAGCCAGGGTGGCCTCTGGCACCCTCACAATACCCTCACGCTCCACTCTAACTGGATCTCCAGCCTGCTTGGGAGATGAGGTCCCGCCCCCTTCCAGACTCCCTGGGCTGAACAGGTAACCCCTCCCAGGCCCCCTAGGAGATGAGGCCCCGCCCCCTCCCACCTCCCTGGGAGGTGAGACCCGACCCCTCCCAGTCTCACTGGTAGGTGAAGCCCCGCCCCCACCAGCCTCCCTGGGAAATGAGGCCCCGCCCCTCCCAGCCTCCCTGGGAGGTGAGACCCGACCCCTCCCAGTCTCACTGGTAGGTGAAGCCCCGCCCCCACCAGCCTCCCTGGGAAATGAGGCCCCGCCCCTCCCAGCCTCCCTGGGAGGTGAGACCCGACCCCTCCCAGTCTCACTGGTAGGTGAAGCCCCGCCCCCACCAGCCTCCCTGGGAAATGAGGCCCCGCCCCTCCCAGCCTCCCTGGGAGGTGAGACCCGACCCCTCCCAGTCTCACTGGTAGGTGAAGCCCCGCCCCCACCAGCCTCCCTGGGAAATGAGGCCCCGCCCCTCCCAGCCTCCCTGGGAGGTGAGACCCGACCCCTCCCAGTCTCACTGGTAGGTGAAGCCCCGCCCCCACCAGCCTCCCTGGGAAATGAGGCCCCGCCCCTCCCAGCCTCCCTGGGAGGTGAGACCCGACCCCTCCCAGTCTCACTGGTAGGTGAAGCCCCGCCCCCACCAGCCTCCCTGGGAAATGAGGCCCCGCCCCTCCCAGCCTCCCTGGGAGGTGAGGCCCCGCCCCTTCCAGTCTTCTCAGTGGACACAGCTGCCCTGTGGACAGATTCTGAGACTGGAGTGGGAGGAGCTGTTTTCCATCCTGGGGAGGAATGGAAGGTCTAACGGTTCTGACAGAGGCAGCTTATGACCCAGTCTCCATTCGCATTCATGGTGTGGCGGCCCAGTGGGTAGAGCTGTGGGGGTGCTGGGCTGGGTCTTGGGGTGGGGGTGAAGACAAATATCCTGTGGGGGACAAGGCAGCTTCTGCAGAGGGGGGAGCCTCATGATTTCCCCCCTCCCTTGTCAATCTCCCTCTGCAGGTAGGGCCGGGGGGTAGGGGGCCCGGGAAGGCAAGGTCTCAACTGCCTGCCTGGGGTGGGGATGAGACCTGAAGGTTCCGGAGTGGATACAGGAAAACCTGAGGGTGGGGGGACGGAGGGAAGCTGCTCCCAGCCTCCTTCTTAATGTCAATCCCCGTCTGTGACCTCCCTGCCCTATGAGTAGAACTTGGTTCTCATAAGGCCTAAGTTTCTGGGGGGCCCTCCCCCATGCCCCTCACCCCACCCCACTCTCTCTCCATAGTAGGCATAGCTACCTCATAGGGAAGACCTGGGGCTGCAGGGGAGCGGAGAGCAGAGCCGGGTCCTGCCTGTCTGCACACGGGGCCTCCATGACCCTAGCTCCCTTCGCCCCCTTCCCAGCCCCAACTAGCCCTGCTGGCCACCCAGTGTGGCCTCACGCTGCAGCAGACCCAACGCTGGTTCCGGAGACGCCGCAACCAGGACCTGCCCTGCCTGAGTAAGAAGTTCTGTGAGGCCAGGTAAGCCCAGGGTGGGGCTGGAGGGGGTGTCTGGGGTGCAGGGCTGTGGGCCGGGTGGGATCTGCCCTTTTGACAACTGCCTCATGGGCTTCCTCCCTATCTGCAGCTGGAGGTTTGTCTTCTATCTGTGCTCTTTCATCGGTGGCTTCTCAGTCCTGTACCACGTGCGTATACCTGAGTGCTCACCTGCCCACCTGTCCCACGAGCACCTACTATGTGCCAGTCCTGGATCAGGGGTGTAATGAGGGGTGCAGCCAGAGAGAAAAGTATGTGCAAAAACACAGAGGGGAGAAAGAGCTTGGCAAGGTCGTGGTGAATGTTCACTCAACAGACACCTATGGAGGACCTACTGTGCTCCAGGAGATGGGGGGTCTGCAGCGAATGGGCCCCCAGTTGAGAGTGAGAGGCAGAGATATAACTAGGCAGGAAGAAGCAGGGCCGAGTGAGAGCAGCACCCAGGGGCCCAGACCCAGGGTGGGAAGCTGACTTCTGACCTTTGGGCGACATGGGACACCTGTTTCCCCACAGGAGTCATGGCTGTGGACACCGGCAATGTGCTGGGACAGTTACCCAAACCAGGTGAGCAGCAGAAGGTGCATGGAGGATCAGAGGGTCAGGGTGAGCAGAGTTCCTGCAGCCACAGGCACAAAAGCCAAACCCAGACATCACAAATAATTACCCTCTGAGTCCACTCTATGATTGTTTTTGACTCCCCTGTGGCATCGAAAGGGGTTGGGAGTTAGGAAATTTGGAGCAGGAGCTACCACAAACCCACTGCCCTTGATTGCCTCCAGCGACAGGGAGCTCACTGTTCCCACTCATTGGGATTCAAGTGTCCTGTTTTTCAGCAAATGGGGAGGGCCCTGAGCCATGCCCCTGCCTGGTAGGAGCCTCTGCTCCCTACAGTTAACTTTCCCCCTGCCACAGACCCTGAAGCCAGCCCTGTACTGGTGGTACCTTCTGGAGCTGAGTTTCTACATCTCACTGCTGATCACACTGCCCTTTGATGTCAAGCGCAAGGTGAGGCCAGGCCAAGAGTCCAGCTGGGGCAGTAACCCTGGGGGAGTCATGACCCAGTCTCTGGATCTCTGGACAGGGAGCTCAGATGGGGAGGGGTGGCCTGGTACACCCTGAGATCCCCCGGATGCCTCCAGCAGGAGGCATAGAATCCGGAGGATCCAGAGGCCACACCAACCCCCTGAGAGGGCCTACTCCTAGACCCGTGGGGTAGGGTCCCTCCAGCCACCAAGCCTCGTCCCGGCTGTGACCCATCATCTCCCGCAGGATTTCAAGGAGCAGGTGGCGCATCACTTCGTGACTATTGTCCTGATCACCTTCTCCTACAGCTCAAACCTGCTGCGCATCGGCTCCCTGGTGTTACTGTTGCATGACTCCTCTGACTACCTACTGGAGGTGGGCCCAGCTCAGCCTGACCCCTCCCAGCCGCCCTACCCAGCCCTCCCAGGTGCCCCCGGAGATGAGACCCCAGCCCCTGGGAG